ACTAGACCTGGCGGCGGGAGAAAAAAACCGTACTCCTTACATGCTACCTTTAGGTAGAGGCAGGGCAAAGAAAGCAAGGACTGACCCACATTCTATTTAAATGGAGATGCACACTCACATGCCACGGTTCCAGAGCAATTGAGAGCAGCAGAAGCATTGCTCTGCCAAGAATAGTCTGTGTCTGGGACAGGAAGGTGACCCTCCATACTTACAGTACACTGCTTCTATATCAGAATACCTTACATTTCCCCAGCTCTCTGCACTTTGCAATGTGGCCAAGGGATGGGGTTCTATGAAAGCAGGCGTGGATGAAAGGAATGCTGTCACCCTGTACAACCCTCATGAGTACCGTTCATACTGCACGGAGGCTGTGAATAGAAAAGATGCTGTAACTTGAAATAGAAATAGAAGGGATGTTATAGCTTCCTAGAAGAGACACTTTTCTCCTGAACCCTCTTTGGATCCTGAGGGAATGGTGTATGAAGGGACAAAGGCCCACCAATGTGACAGCAGATCTCTGACCCACAGCCTCTGTAGGAACCCACCTCCAACAGTCTAGACTTGGTCATTGTGATAATAGCTCCTCTTTATCTCTTGTTACTTTCTTCTCAGCACCAACCACAGAAAGACAAGCATAGCCTTTAACCTACGTGTTGGAGAGCTCATCACCAGCTTTTCTGTGCCAGCCAACTCAGCCTGAGGTACACCCCAGTCCTTCTTCCCCTTCATTTCCATGGGGGATCTTGCCCTCGACTTTGAGGTTCTGCCTAGTGCAAGAGTCTTTGCTGTTTCGAGCAAGCAAGCCAAGAAGTGGCAGTAGCCCTGTTTCAGTTTGTTTGTTGTTATTTTTTGTTTATTTGTTTGTTTTTTTTTTTTTTGCTCTTTATTTCTTGTCCTCTTTCTATGGAGGGGAATGCAGCCATGTGTCACCATCTTGAATGCATAAGGGTGTGAAGACTCAGCATCTCTGGTATTGAAGACCATCCAGCCACCTGCTTTGAGATGCTATCAACAGAGAGAGATACACTTCAGTCTTTTTAAGGTACTGCTTTGGGTCTGGTTCCCATGCCCCCACCTCCTGTGAATGTCTCTCTGAGGAGGCCTGTTGGTCTCAGAGGCAAGAGTCAGACTTCATCTATTTAAACCTCACTAATGCGGGACTTGTGCAATTCTGCCCTGAGACATCCAAAGTGAGAGGGAACATTTACACTGGAGTAAAAATTAGGGTTTGTTGATCATACTCATGTATTCTGGATTTCAGTCATTTAGACTGCTAAACTAGACTTTAAAGGTACCTTAACACCTTTCATTTGTATACAATGATTAATATGCTAATTACAGTAGACATATCTATTCATTAAGATAGGGTGGCTGCTTAGCCCTGGCAGTCTATGGATGCTGGCACTGTAGACAAAGCTAATCTGCATACAGCATTCTAGATTCTTTGTGATGTTTTGGGAAGTTGAGATAAACTATCAGATTTTCTTGACTATCACAAGGCTGCTTTTGTGTGACTATGAAATTCTGTTTCTCCATGGCTATGGTTTTGGCCAGAGTGTGGCTCAAGATACTAGGGCACCAAACAAGTTTTAGTTAGAAATACTATAGAGTAATTTATTGTCATCCACATACAACTTATCCTGTTCACTAGCAGTTCAGGGTCCAGGCTCTAGTAAGCCACAGTTCCTCATTCCTCCTCATCACAATTTTAGATCCACAGGGGCAAACTCATGGTACACACTTCTTAGCATCATGGGCACAGTCATTTGCTGTCCTGGAAGACAGCTTGGCTCACGAGACATGCCTGTACATATCGTTAGCACCTCAGACTTTAGTGTCCTTTGACTCTGGCAAGTCAGATACTGCCTTCCAATAACCTATAGGCACTTAGAACTTTTACTAAAAACCAATAACTATTCACTTTGTCCCATGAGGTAGGATGGAACTTTGGCATTTCTGCCTTCATTTTGGACCTGGTTTCTTTTCTTTGGGTTACCTGCTCAACTCTGCATGCAGGCATGACAACCACCCAAGGGTGCCTATCTAGAAACCATAGATGTCTATTCTATCTTACTCCCCTCCAAGGTTAAAGGCACAAAAGAACCACAGAGGCCTCTTAATGTCAGTGTTTTACAATGTCCAGTTCATATCCCCAAAGGGCGTCAAAAGTCTCCAGTCATCATCTTAAGTCTACAGTTACGTACAATTCCAGGAACAGCAGAGCCTGCAGGGGCAGAGCACCTCTCAGATGAGGGGAATTGCCTATAAATGGGAGGTGTTTTGGAGCAGGAATGATCACCCATGGTCACCACATTGCTTCACCCAAGCGATGAGGCTTCTTTGGATCATCCTGCGGAACTAGAACTGGACAGGAGCATTCAGACCACACCTTGACCAGGATGGTGTAATGGTGTAATTATGTTTACCATTTTTTCCCTTTGTTTAAACCTGAAGCTCTAGTTAGTGCTCCAAAGATGGACTTGGAGTCATGTGGTCCCTGTATCTGTTCTTCCCAATGTAAATATGAACCAAAACCCATCTCTCTGCTTTTCATAATTGTTCATTTTTAACTGGTTTACTGGGACAGGAGGCCAAGTTGAGCTTGTTGGGGCTTTTGCCCTAACATTCTGCTAACACCTATAATATTGGCAGAACATGTAAATTCAGAGGCCCTTGGAGGTTCTGTAGCATTTCCTGGCTCTGAGACCCTGGAGCCATCCTGGAAGTATAGTGTAGTAGTTTATTTCCCTGGCACATGGTTATCCAAGGCCCTAGTCTTCTACATCCACCCACACATTTATCCATCCACCCACTAAACATTTGCTGGGAGACCACTGTAGGTTATCATAAAGTAGTCATGATCGTCAAAGAGTTCATGGCCTATGGTGGAAACATTTAAATCTCTTAACACTTATCGAGTATAATGAAGTCTGTTACAAACAAACTACCAGATAAAGACAGGAGAGTGGGCAGATGTCCGAAGACAGAAATGGCCTTGAATGAAGTTTTACCGGGACCCTGGTTTTTGAATGAGATGGAGAAGAGCAAGCATCTCAAAGCAAAGGAGAGGGGATGGGCTGAAGTGTGGAGACTTGAAAAGGGCACACGAAAGGGCAGCAATTCTAGAATGTTGGAGGACAGGATGAGAAAGAAGCAGGAAAAGAACTAGATGATGGAGATTAGAATCATCTTGGGTGCCATGTTGGAGGGAATGGGCACCACCTTGAGAGTCTGGGACATTCAAAGCAAGACTGGAAATACTTACATGGGCCAAACAGATTGTGCATGTTAGGAGCTGGAAGCTCGGGAGTGCAGCTCCCATCCAAAAGTGGTAAACATTTCTCATGGCAGAGCATAGGCTTCATGTAGCCAAGTTGCCATGTTTTAAAAAAGGAAGCTGAAACCCCACACTTAGATAGCAATGCTCTCAGCTTGTAACCATTGCTAGTTATTTCAAGGCTTCATGCCTGCAGGGCATATCCGATGCTCCCTCAGCCCTTGGCCCTTCAGTTTGGTATTTTCAGTTGAAAGTGTCTAAGCAGAGATATTATCCAGTCAACAGAGAAGAAGCTGGGTCTGCAGTATATGACTTAATCCCACATACTCAGGAGGCTGAGGCTGGAAGAGATTTAGTTCAAGGCTAGCCTGAGAAACTTAATAAGACCCTACTCAAAATTTAAAAATCCAGGATCAGGGGAGAATCAGTAAAGCTTCCCCGTAAGCATGAGAACTTGTGAACTTGTGTTTGCTCCCCAGCACCCAGGTAAAAGCTGGTCATGGTGGCATGCATTTACAGTCCAAGCACTGAGGAAGTGGACACAGGGAGTTCCCCCAAGGCTTTCTATTTAGCCAGTTAAGCCTAATTGGCAAACTCCATCAAAGTAAGATACTGTGCCTCAAAATAAATAAATCGACAAAACCCAAGGTGGCCAGTCTACCTGAGAAACAATACCCCAATTAGTAAGCCTCAAGCTAGGTAGGCTCTGTCTCAAAAAACAGTGTGGATAGCCTTCTTGATGAATGACACCTGGGACTGAGCTCTGGCTTCCACATGCATGTGTACATATGTGCACGGGCATCCACACAGACATGCACACACTCTCTCCCATCCAGAACATGTATGTACACAACACACTAACACAATAAGAAAACAAATGAAAAAATGACTGGGCTATAACTTAGTTTGAGAACTCTTGCCTAGCTTTGTACAAGGGTCTGGGTTTAATGCTTAGCCCTGAAGATAAATAAATAAAACGACCACATTCCTTACAGATCTCAATGTAGTCTTTCTGTTCCAGACTCCTACGATAGAAACTGCCCCCATCTCCACCCTGTTCCCCCCCCCACACACACACAATCCCTCCCCACCCCAGACTGTACTCCCATGTCTCATCACTGGCCACTTCTTACAGATTCACTGCCTGGCTTTGAGAGAAACACTCAGTGTTAAGGACACCAGAGAGCCATATTTATTTCACATGGACAAGCATGATTTCGTGCATGCTGAACATGAAAGCTCGTGTAAAGAAAGTACCCGTAACAGCAGAATTGTGTGCTTTTTTTTTCCACAGGGATCGGGGAGAGTCTCAGAGTGCTTTTCAAAGACAGCATCCTCCAAGCACAGTGGAGACCACAGGCTTTGAAGTCACTGGCTTATTTCATCATCACAGAGTCCATCTCCTGGAGTGGCCAGAGAGGTGATTTTGGCTCTGCATACTATCAATGAGGTGCTGCATTCTGAGGATGATAGAGGGCACTCTCCTACCCTACCACTCAGGACTGCTGGGGAAAATGAAGCTCAGAGGGAAGATACATGCCACATGGAATTAAGAAGTCCACCACTGAGTACACAGTGATGGGATGGACTGCTGTTCTCACAGCAACAGAACCATCTCTACTCAGAATATCCCCCAACATTGGGAGATCCATCCTTTGTACAGCAATTCCCCAAGGCCTCTCATTGGTGGTAGAGAACTGGATGGTTATGCCAGACACAAGGAGAATTTTTCTGGACAGGGCAGGGACCACCGGTCTTTTGGCCTTTGCTCAGCTTCCTGGTTCCAAGACAATCCTTCATATGGTTCAAGATGGGACGAGGGGCTGGAGACGATAATCAGAGTCTCTGGGAGCAAACCTCATGGAAGAGACAAGAGTAGACCCGTGTACCTCAGAGACTCACTCCCACCGGAAGTCCTGCCCAACGGTTTCATAAAATTTAATATTATAAGGTCTATAAAATTCCCGGAGCTGGTCTATGACTTCAGGGTCGATCTGGACATGAGTTCTCCCTTTTGATTTGCCCAGGCATCGCGGCAAGAGGGTCGATTCTGGTTTTTTCAAGCAAGGGAATCCTTTGGTCTTGTTGAAGTAGAAGTGCTTGTCTGTGATGAATCGCTTGATGCCCAGGAAGTCCTGGATGCGCCCCATCTCACCAGCAGGGTCAGTGATCAGCCGCTCACCGCTGACAAAGTGGATCTGGGCCAGTGGGAAGTACCGCAGCCAGCTCTCCAGATGCAGTGCATACATGCCGATGCGGATGGCATTCCAAGACACGTCCACCAGGCCCAGGCTGCGGTTGCGGAAGGACAGGCCCTCGAAGGTGGGGATGTCCGGCTTCTTGGAAAGTGTCTGTGTGTAGTCAGAGATGGCGCGGGTCACAGGGTTCCGCACCACCACAATCAGCTTAGTGTCTCGCGACATGTTGAAGATCCGTCGAGGGGCTTCTTGAGTGACGAAATAGCTGGGCGTCTTCTCTAGTGTGATCTGGGTCTCCAAGGTCCTGGGCATCAGGCTCCTATTGGACAGAAGCAACACATTATCAGAGAGCATGGGTGGTTTGGGGACACTGCTGTTAGCTCCTTCCATTTGGTGACCCATGCAGGCCTCTCTCTCTTATCCTATTTGAGTTCCTTACTTGGTGAGGAACTCACCCGTGTTGAATTTTTAGAATATATTTAACAAGGGTTTCTTTAAGGCAGAAACAAACTGAATATCGGTTACTACAGGTTAAACAAATTGTTTAACCAACAGATAGATCTATATGTATTAATATGCAATGATTTCCAACATACAGCAAGCCTCTGTATCCATGGGTTCTACAGCTAGAGATCCGACCAACTGTGGATTGAAAATATTTGGGGAGGCCAAATGGTCTGAGGTTGGGCCCCCAGAATCCATGTGAAAATGGGTATCTGTATATCTGTAAATACTAACACTCCTATCTAAGATCAGCAGAGTAGAGACTCTCCGGCCAGCTAGCTTGGTATATGCAGCAAACAAACAAAAAGAACCTGCCTCAAACAAGGTGGAAATTGAGGAATGTACTTGAGAGGCTGTCCTCTGATCTTCACATGCATGATTTGCTAAACACACACACACACACACACACACACACTAAAAACATTTTAGGAAAATGCATACATGCTAAGTATGTACAGATGTTTCTTTGTATACAGTACTTACATTGTATTATATACTGGAAGCCAGTCACCTAGAGATGATTCAAAGACTACCGGAGAGTGGGAGTAGGACACACACAAACACCACACCATTATATAAGAGACTTCCGTATCCACAGAGTATGCTAGTGTGGCTACTTACACCAGGGACGACCCTAACCTTTATAATGAAGAAAGGCCAAATATGGAGACACAGGACTCTGGTAATTGTAGTTAGTGCTGTGGGGGAAAACTGTATGTGGGTGGGGAGAGCCAGGCAATCGGGGATAAATGAGAATTACATTTGATTGTATAATCTTTTACGCTGCTTGAAATTTTTAATGTGTTTATTATGTATTCAAAAATACAAAGTAAGCCGTTGAGTATTATCCTGGCCAAAAAAAAATCTTCAAATATATTAAAATCTTTTTTTTTTGAGGAGCAAAAAGCCTGTTTTTGCAAGAATAGCAATGGTTATTGAAATGAGTTCTGACGTCGTCTGTGGAAGAACATGTGAATTACACCCTTTGTGTAGGCTGCGTGAAGCACAGACTTCTCCAGGCTGGTAGCAACCTCAGGCAGAGCCAGGCAATGTAGCCCCCCCTTCCCTTGTCTTTTAATTTTCTGGCTCTGCTTGGGTCTTCAAGGGATGAAGGTCTGCAGTCTCCCTTCCAGATGGGTCTCTCTCTCCAGCCTTGATGGAGGACTCCCCTCATTCTGGTTGCTACTTTTCCCTGAAGGTCCTGTCTTGTCTTTAAACCAGTATTTCTTGCTGCTGGCTGCACTGGAACATTACATAAGGATGCGACTTTTTCTTTCTTCCTCTCTGGTTCTTTCTTTCTTTGTTTCTTTCTCCCCGACACCTCTCTTTAAATAAAGATCTCTAGGACTCTTTCCATCCTAAGCCAATCAAGTCAAAGTATTTTGGGCTAGGTCTGTTTTAAAGCTCCTTTTTAAAAAAAGTTCACGCTGAGTCAGATGAGGCCAAGAGGAAAGCAGAGCCAAGACAAACCCTCTCCCCAGTCCTACTGCCCTCCAACGGTGCACCTCAGCAGCCCCTCAAGTGTCCATCCTCACTCCTTTCAACACAGACTCTGCATTCCCAGCATTCTCTCTACCTCCTGTTATCTCCACCTGGCCTCACGGCTTCCCAGCTTCTACTTTGTCTCCAGCTTTTCTTTGCATTCCTCTAGAGCAGTGGTTCACAACCTTCCTAATGCCGTGGCCCTTTAAGATGTTTTGGTGACCTCTAACCACAAATGATTTTTATTGCTACTTCATAACTCTAATTTTGTGACTGTTATGCAAATATCTGTTTTCTGATGGTCTTAGGTGGCCCTGTGAAAGAGTTGGTGGACCCCCCCCCCCCGAGGGGTGGGTTGTGACCCACAGGTTGAGAATAACTGCTTTAGCAACTCTTATAGTCAAACCTTGGGCCTTGTCATTGAAACTGTCAGGATTTAAAATGTTACACCCTGCGATTTATTTTAGGGTTGTGAAATGAGTTCAGTGAGGCCTCTCCCAAAGATGTATGCACATGGAACCTGTGAGTGTGACTTTACTGGGAGAAAGAGTCCATGCTGACATAACGGTGAAGTCCCACAACAGTAACCTTAGACACATCGGGAACAGGGTAAGCTGACACAGTAAAGTAGTTAACCTGAAGGCCAAGAACAACACAGTTGTCACCAAAACCATGACAGGCACAGAGCAGTGCTCTTTCACAGCAGGAACAGGAAACCACCCCTGATAGCAATCTGACCTCTAAGGCTGCGAGAAGAATCACTTCCATTGTTCCAGGGTTTCGTGATTTCCAGTCTGTCATGGCCTCCACAGGAAATGACTTTGTCTCCTTTCACCTTTATCATAGTGTCAAACTCATTATACCTGTCCTCAAATTTATCTATGAGCCTCTTGATTTCACTTTCTTCCATATTCTGGACCCAGGGAACAATAGTTTCAACATCATCTTTCTATCTATCTATGTATCTATCTATGTATCTATCTATCTATCTATCTTTCTATCTTTCTATCTATCACTTGGTCTGTCAGTCTCTAACAATGCAGCACTCCAGCTGTTCATCTCTTTCAATTCTGTGGCCAAGTTTCCCAACTTCCTTCAGACAGTTAGCACTTCTAGCTTTGGTCGAATCTTCAGCTGTGTGTTTGTACAGCACGCCCTGTCATTGTGCATTGCAAGCTTCCAACCCTGTAAGCTCCCAACCCTGCTTCTCTTACCCACTCTTAATATGGGACTCATGTCCTCAACACAAGGAAGATATAAGCTCTCATATCCCAATCCTGTCCATTTTCCTCTATCCCATCTTGAAAGCGACTTTTCCCAGGCCTACCCCCAGGACTTCTTACTAGTTTCAGAGAACAAGGTGTGCTGGACTCATGGTTTACCCATGCTCAGCCCACTTCCTCAGGTTCCCCTGAATACCCATCCTTAGGCTCCATATTCCCTGTGCAGGAAGGCCGATGCAATCAAGGCCCAGTGTCTATATTAGCCTATATGGGCTGAAAGTTTTAGTATAGAGTGGACCAAAATTTAAATGTGGAATATCAAACCAGGTGTGATAATATGTCTGTAATACCAGAACTTGGAAGGTAGAGGCAGGAGGATTATGAATTTGAGGGTAGCCTGGGCTGCATAGTGAGACTCTCCTATCTCAAAAGAAGAGGAAAGGGATGGGGGAGTTAAAACAATCCCAAATACATCTCAATAGAATCTTTGGGTGGAGTTTCCTAGACATAAAGTTGTTGTACATTATAATTAGACAAGCAGGAGTTTATGATGAGAGTAGACACATTGCTATGTGGGGCAGGACACAAACCACCTCTAGTGGTTTTCCAAACTCTGTGGGTGTTATTGATGCAAGAGTCTTCCCCAGCATAGAGATTTGGTGCTTGACAGGCTGTTAAACATATTTCTTTGCAATATCCTTTAGTACTATAGGGAGTATCTGAGAGGAAAACAGTGAAGGCAGCATTTCCCAAGCCTTAGTTGGCCAGCTGTGAACTTGTGCCCTCAGCATCCATTAACTTCTCCCCCTTTACTAGTTTGGAAAATTCTGATCAATTATGGTGACCTCCAGAGTAGCACAGTATCCCCCAGTTGGACACTAATAGACACTCTACTATTCTAATTCCTAATAGGCACATCAGTTGCAAAAACAACATGATCAGTGCTAAAATAAAGGGACCAGGCTACAGGCAGGAGAGTTGGCTCAGTGGGCATGAGCACTTGCTGTGAATGCATGAGGCTCTGGGTTTGGATTTCAGTAACTACAAAAATTGCCAGGTGTGGCTGAGCATGCTTGTAACCACAGTGCTGTGGAGGTGATGGAGACACGAGTATTGCTGGCTGCCAGTCTAGCTTCAAGTGCAGCAGCAGACGCCAAGGTCCTTCTCCAGCTCTCTCTCTCTTTCTCTCTCTCTTTCTCTCTCTCACACACGCACACACATAAACATTGGCACCCATACTTGCATACTTAGGAAATATAGGAAATGTCCGTATACACATGCATGCATACACATACATGTACACACATGCACACATGTGTACACACACATAGGCATTAATACTTATACATGTACATATCACACACATGTCTCTTTCTTCCTCTTCCTCTCTCTTTCTCCTCTCTCTTCTCTCTCTCTCTCTCTCTCTCTCTCTCTCTCACACACACACACACACACACACACACACACAAGCCCAGATTATAAATAAGTTCACCTAGTCATGCCAAAAGATGTAGGGCTCCTGTGCACAGCAACCTTTCTCTCTCTCTCCAAAGAACACTCTTGAATATTCATTTCTCTTTAGGTCATTGGTCATTAGACCACTAGAGCCTGTGATGACACTGTGAGTAGAGGCTGGATGTTCACCTCCATGCTTTCTACACACGGGTGAGGACACGAGGCGGCACCTTGAAGTCTGTGTTTCCTCCTTATGCCACAGATGACATTTTGCTTATTTACAGTTTCTAGAAAACAGTGGAATGCTTCTCCCACTGCATATCCTTCTTGAGTCTCTGTATTCCTTCTTTTTTATATAGTGCTGAAAAAAATACCAGGAGACTATTCCTACACTTGTTGTTTGGACTTATCCCCCATCTGTTGTTTTAACTTGTTCAGCAAGGATTTTCCCTACAGCCAGTCACAGTCTGGATTTTCCTTTGTGGAACTGAACTGCCCATCTTGCTTTGGACAAAGTCTTGTATACACACACACTCTCTCTCTGTCTTTCGAGTGTGGCACATGCATGCACACACACACCTCTGTGTGTGTGTGGGGGGGTGGTTTTCCTTCACGTCTGTGCACTGTGTGTTTGCAGTGCCCACTGAGTCCATAA